CTCTTTAGACAACTAATGTCAAAGAGAAGGCATTTCACCTCATTGATCCCATTCCCACCGTTGAGGAGTGTGACAAGAGTTTGAGAGTCGGATAACAAATCCATGTGTTGTTATTAAACTACAATATTCGAATAGTAATCACGAAATAGCCTAAGCTAATACTAATTCAAACTTGTACAAGATGTAAAAGACACCATTCTTGGCTCAAAGGTTTTTCATTATAAAGGTTAGAGATTAAAAAAAATGTGAAAGACAAAAAAAAGCCAAAGTTTATACCGGACCAAATCAATAAATCAGTCGAGTTTGCATTTATAAACGCATGCTGTTATTGTCAGTACAACTCCAATGATCAGTCCTACAAACGCCATTGCCAAGACTGTCGAAATCCAACCAAATTACGCATATATCAGTAGTCTAGAAATATCCTCGCAACATTCTTTGATCGGTATTAACATTAGCAGTGACGAAGAATAACATACCAGCAACGGAGAAGTAGATAAGACCTGCTAATCTGTATCTGGTTGTTCCTGGTAATTCCACTTCAAGGGTGCAATATCTTTGGGACTTTCCCTTTGTGGTTGGATTTGTCGGGGAATTTGAGCCTCGTGCTTGGAGATCGGATAGTGAAACATTTGAGCCTAGTACTGTCACTCCTTGAACATCTCTGATTTCAATCCTTATGGTAGCCGGATTTGCATTCCAATCTATCGATATTGCTCCGAAATTCGATTGTCCTGCAAAGTAATCATAAGATATTGTGACCAATGTAATCCTCCAAAGGAATCAACTGAGAAGACGTGGAGTATAATAATACCGTACGTGCATGATTTGAATGTGCAGTTTTCATTGATAACTCTCATTGTGCTTGGAGTATACCAAAAAGGAAGCCTAACGATGAAACGCAAAGGACGAAGGAAAACTTTCTCAACAGATTGTACTAGACCACTAGAGGTGACATCATATAATGGGTACCCAACGGCACAATCGTATCTCGTGATTTCACCAAAATGAACATCTCTCCATTTCTCTGTAATGACATAGCAACATATACTTATGGTGAAAAGGAAAGAGGAAACATCACTCGGTTAGGATCATTGCCCCAAATGTCAAAACTATCACCATACCTTTGTATCTGATATCAGTTTGAAAAGACGTTTCCTTTCCTTTGGAAAACGGCCCCATGATTCCATATAAAAGAGTGGACCAGTGGTAGCCGAGAGATTTGATATCACCTGGACAAGTCAAGAACCCATTTTAATGGATAAGCAATTCAAGATGGAAAATGGCACTCAGCTTAATCAAGTTCAAGTTTATGGTTAAAAGAAATCAAGCATGAGTCTTTGGTTAGTGACTTTACGATCAAACTCTTTACCAGCATCATTCAATCCGTAATCATGATCATCCCAAGTACCAATAACTTTAGCGTTTCTCTTGAGACGTGAATAGCCAGGATTAGACTTAGCTTTTGCGTATCTTAGTTTCATTTCTTCCTCTGAAGAAGGCACAAACCTCGGTGAATTCCTCCATGGCCCAATGGTTCTCTCTTTCCCAATGATTATTCTAATGGGTTTTCTGATATCTCCATAGATTATTCTAATGGATTATTCCAGTTACCGTTGGGATTTTGATAAGAACGCGTCTGTTACGTTCTCACAAGTTTTCTTCTTATTATTTTGCCATTGCATTGGTTTTTTTATTCCACCAAAGGAGTTGTTGGAATCAGCGCACACGGCTCATCCCGAAGCAGCAGAGAGGACCAAGACATTGGAAGATGATGTCGAGAGGATTATCCAAGAGATTCGGGCGGTTTGCTAAACCGAAGATGTACATCAAACATTTTATTTATTTTGGTCAAGATGACGATGATGATGACGATAAGAATTGTTGTATTATGCCATTTCCCCCAACGATTAAGATTTGATGCCCCCATTAAA